TGACATCCTGGTGCCAAGTAAAAATGTTGGACATTTTTATATGGGAGTAAACTGAGTTGCGGATGACAAATTGAACTTGTAGATCGAGGTGCAGCTGTGTATTAAAAAGACGAGTGAGTAAGGAAGTGATTCAGAGGTGGCTAAAAAAACAAAAAAACAAAGTAGGACATCCTCAATGAAGTTCTCCGCTTCCACGCTCTGTAGAGTGACGAAACAAAGAGGCTGTGTTTTTTTGTGGCGTCCAGCGAAATGACATTAGGGGCTTTGCGTTAACATGCGTGCCCGGCAGACACTTGCTGTGCCAGAGTGCAGGAAGTGTGCCAACCCCACTAAATGAAAGCCCCAAAAAAAGAGTGGCTGCATTTGAATGTGTGCGACAAACAGCCCGTGGCAAGAGTCTGTGCTCGATCTCTCAGATGAGCTTTTTCATTAACTTTTCATGTCTTTTTTTTTTCCCCCCGCCCTGCCCATTTGAATGAATTAACAACCGAAAGAACAGTTTCATCAACTTCCACTTCAAATTTGTTCAAACTGCCCCAACCCGACTGACAAACAACTTTTCATTTTATATCTCTCCACAAACCCAAACAGCCTTTTAAAACACAAGCCCTCCCGGCGACACGCCCCCTTTTTAAGACCCACAACGCTGGCTTTGTCAAGCATCACAACGAATGAAAACATCTGGCCGCCGAGCACGAGCCGTTCAAAGCGTTTCACGTCGCCGCCTGGCAACCGCGGGCGCGGATCCGATGATAAATGAGCTCCTTTTGATTTGCGCGCCGGACAGCGGCTCCAAGTAATTTCCGAGGTAATGCGGCCTACTGGAGCATTACGCGCCACCTGAGAGGACGGACGGAGGCGCGTCATGCCTCCGAAATTAGGCTTTCGGGAAGTCGCCGTAAACAAGCGAGAATCAAGAGGGGAGCTCTATCGTTAGTATCCTCGTGCGCGATTGCGTACGCAAGGTAACGTTTTGTTTCGTGATGCGTCACGAGACAAATGTAGTACATTGAGACATATTGTGTATACTCGGAGAGTGGCTGCGGCTTATTTGTTTACTCAACTGAAAAGTGGAGCAGCCATCTTTTATTTATAGCTTAATAGGGAGTGGTTTAAGCTAATAGCGTGTAGAAAAGGAATTGGGGGTGGGGGGGGCTGAGCATCAGGAAGACACCATTGAACGGCATCGGCGAGATGATTGTTTTGCAACTCGTCAGGAATATCCCCCCCGCCCCCCTCTCCCCTCCCCCACCAAAGCACCTTCGATGTCGCGCAAACAGTTGGCGAGAGCGCCCGCAGGTGTCTCATTTGCAGCAGGTAGCAGAAGCGGGGCGACAGATGGGCAGCATCGACAGCGGATGGCAAATTCGTAAGCGTCTGCTCGCTGAAAAGATAAAAAGTGACGATTGGCACCAAAATGATTCGTATGCAGTGCTTAAAAAAAAAAAAAAAAATGACTGTCAGCTCCTGATGTGATTTTTAAAATTTATTTTCCCTTTCCGGTGGCGCCTTTCAGTATGAGTTTTTTTTATTCTGTGACCATCCTCAAAACCCACACAAAAAAGTTATTAAATTATTGGAACATAATAGAGTAAAATGTATTTTTTTAAATTCATACAAACAAACCAAAACTATTAATTACCTTCACATTAGGCTTTTGTCATTTGCTGTTAAGTCTTTTTTGTTGTCACTTTGACTTTTTTTTTTTTTTTTTTAAATGGACAGCACCTAACAGTCAGGGAAATTAATAATAACCGTCAAATTTAAGGGTTAAAAACAAAAAATGAAATTCATCGAAAAAAACCCCAAATCATCTTCACATGAGGCTTTCCTCACCCATCGCTCACGTTCTGATGTTTGAATATTCCTCAGAAGTGAACTTCTTGAGAGGGTGAACTTATTTTTCCACTTGCATGCCAATGACGGCCGTTTAAGTCAAGAGATGGAAACGCAAGCGCTTTGTCACCCGTCATCCTCATGCCGCTGCAAAACTCATTCATGCGCCTTCCATCTCTTCTGATGGGAGGGCCCCCGAAGGCGAGAGCGGCTTTCGCACGGGGAAAAAAGCACCCTCCACTCATCTTAAAGAGGGAACGCGAGAGGAGGGGAAGCTGAGAATTGGGGGATCAACCCCCCCCCCCCAAAAAAAAAAAAAAACTTGCCCAAGTGATAAAGTAGCATCACTTGATCTTTTCTTTAAAAGGCTGCAAACTTATCTTGTGTCGCCGGAGTTTCGCTGGAATTCCACTGCGAAAATTCTTTATATGAATGAAACTCATGACGTTGTTATGTTTTACTTATTTTTTTGAAATTAAAAATGATAAGCGGTTCAGATAATGGGTGGAATAAGTTCAATAATTAAATCGAACGCAAATAATTAAACAGTTTCTGCGTCACAATTTAATGCTGCAATTCAATATTAGGATAAAGAATATTTACCTGTGAGCAATATTGTTATATTATCTGTCTACATACCTTGCTTCACCATTTGTGTTCAAACATGCGCTTCTTAAAACATGGCGATCGATGCTAGCCATTAGCACGTCAATGGTGTTTCGGACTGTTTGTCAGCGTGAAGCTAAACAGACTTTCCTCGGGCTCACGTGAGAATGTTATAAATGGTGCAATTCTCTTTGTTTGATGTTTACTTTTACGGCGTGACGCCACTGGATGTCGTTTCTACCCGGAAACATAAACTGGGTGGGTGGGGAGTGCACATCCCTTTAAGTGACAGAGACTCACCACGCTTCACTTATTCATCCGCAGGTGAAAGTACAGATGAATGCACCCCGCAGCAGTTAAGAGACAGTGTACAGTAGAGGCGAGAGGAAACTATTAGGAAAGCGTGTTTGCTCATCACCCATGTTGCCTCGCTGTTGTTGGTCATGGCGTCCGAATGTTCCAAACGTCTTCCTGCGAGTCCCACTGAGCTGGGCGGCCAATACGGCACGGTCTCTCCTGAGTCTGGCATTTTCAGATCTCGCGGCGCTCTTCAATTATCCCGACTACTTTCTCCCACTTGCTGACAGCCACGTTCACACACCCGCATGCATCGTAAACAACACTGAGACAGGAAATTAATCGGCTTGGAGCTTGCTGTCAACTAGCCTACGAGCTGACATGTTCTGCTAACGTGCCCTTTTGTTTAAGAGTGAGCAGATCAAAGCCAAAGAAGTCGAGAGCCTTGAATGTGAGGACACACGGCGAGAGACGACCATAAAAACAAACACTAATACTAACGTTGGCATGTAAGTGTCAACGTTGACCTTTGAAACGACCAAAATAAACACAGACGCTAGCATTAGCATGTCTAGTTCTGCAGCAGTATGATATGCCGCATTCTCCTCTTTTCTGCAGTACTCAGTTTTTTTCGGCCCGCAGTGTCCTATGAATAAAAACATTCTACTCCACAGTCTCCACTTTGCGTTATTTTTTTTTGAGGATACGCCAATCGTGACGACCAAAACAAAGACACACGCTAACGTTAGCGTAGCTGGTTCGGCCGCAGTACAGTATTATACTCCACGATCTCAACTTTGCTGTACCATTTTAATATTTGAGAAAAGACAGCTGGAAATGACCAAAACAAACGCCAACGCTAACGTCAGAAAAAAAAAATACTGTTGCATTCAGTGTGGCTTGGGCCTTGCTGCTGGCAGAGCTATTTTAAGGTGGACCGCTCGAACCTTCTGTCCCTTTAAAGCCCTTTCATGAAATGGACAAGGCGGCCGTTCCGTGTCAGCCCCCTTCGTTCCTCAAACCACAACATGCTGGGCATCGCCATGGCAACAAGATTCCCCTAGTCTCATGCGGTCAGCGCCGCTCCGATGCAGTGTCAGTCATGGGTGCAAATGAGTGACATGCGCAGCCTCCGCTCAACGCGCCGACGTGATTCATTGGCTTAATGGAAGCCGAGCCTTGAGCTCAATATAACATACAGAGTGAAAAGGAGACCAGAGCCGGGATTCAATCTGTTGGTAAAACCGCTTCGGCATTAAATGTGCACATTCAATATGAATCGGGTACACGCTAGATGCATTATTCCAGGTTTCGTTGCGGACCAGAGTAAATAAGTCAATGCAAATTACTAAGCAACCCGTTTTTCACAATCCTCCAAGTAATTTGCCGCCATCTCATGGTAGGCAAATATAACCAAAGACACAACCCTTTGAGGCGGGGCGGAAATTACCTGCGCATTTTCGCCATCCCCGAACCGCCGGTTCACAGCACAGTTGGTCGATTTTCAACAAGGATCAGTCTATTAACTCATTCAATCCCAGCCATTTTCACTGGCGCAACCCCCTCAATCCCAGCGTTTTACTGGATTTTGACTGATCTTGCAAGGCCCACAGAATATTTGGTCCTAATGCTATATAAACATGGAGCCTACCAAAAATCGGCATGACAAAATGGCTAAGTGTCATGAAAATGGCGATTCCTGGGCAAAAAAACGGAGAAAAAGAGCTTTTTGTAAAAACATGCATTTCAAGCACGTGAGGCACCACTGCCACCTATTGGTCTTGTTTTTTTACATGATTTACAATGCAAACGACATATTCTCATTCACAGGTTGCATCAGACCCTCCTCCTCTCTGACGCAAAAAAAAAAACAAAACTTCGATGTACAAGTACGTCCTTGGTAGGCGGGGCCTAATTTTAAAAAGACGTACAAGTACGTGTTGTGGAATGAAAGAGTTAAGAGTCTGAAGTTGGTGATTCGCTAGCAGTTCATATTAGGGGTAGAGGCTCAAGGGGAAGGACCGCCTCCTCAAAACATGGGAGCCATAAATACTTTGCAGTGGGTTACTTTGACCAAAGCATATCACAGACAACAAAAAATTAGCGTCACAGAAATAAACTGGGGGGGGGGGGGCTCAAGGAGGAGGTTTAGGGGTCCCATCATTTGACACACTAATAAACATGCTGCAGATGCAGGAGAAAACACCCCCCCCCTAAAAAAAAATAAAAATAAAAAAGAAGAAGAAATTAGAGATACCAACCATGAGCTGCAGGTTCAGTGCTGGGCGCAGTGTCTGAGCGAGCACACAAGGAGACGACATGGTGGAGCAAGAGGAGGAGGAGGAGGAGGAGAAGTAAGGAGGTGCAGAACAGGAGAGACGGCATGCAAATAAAGGAGAAGGAGGGAAGGGACGGGGAGAAAACAAATAACAAACATAAGCAAGCGTTTGGAACACTAGAACATACGACAAAAAGACAACAGGCCAAAGGGAAAGCAACGACAACCAAAAGGCTGTGCAGCGAGAAACACACACACACACACACACACACATACACTCGTCGCTGTGTGTTAGATTTTTTTTCTTTTGTATATGGACCTGCCTAATCGATAAACTGACTAATTGATGCCCGTATTTGAATACCCCCTCCCCAAAAATCTCCACAATCCAATGGCCAAATGTAAACGAAAGCATCTGCTACCAGGAAACAGAATGGCAGTAGGAGTGGACCATGTGGGACTCAACAATATGCTCGCGCGCTCTCAAGTATGTCAAAGCGTTCGAGTGGTTTCCACGCACCGCACGAGACCTTTGCCGACATGACACATGCCGATAAAGTGCGGGCCAATCGTAATTATGTATGCACGAAGGCGTTAGGTGGCACCCCGCGCTCGCCAGATTGCCAAGCAGCCGCCGGGGCGTCCCCGCTGGCAGGCGAGATTACTTCTTTACGTCTGATGGCTTTTCCAAAAGACCTTCCTCCTCCTCCTCCTCCCCTTGGCTTTGGCCTTGTGATTTGCCTTCCATCTCCTCGAGTGTTTTACGCATCCCGCGGAGTTCTGCTGATGGAGAAGAGAATGTCTGGCATTATCTCCAGGGTTTTGTTTCCATACCGTTTACAAGTTTGGAGGCTCGGCGGGTGTTAAGTCGTTGACTACGTCGTGGCGGTTTGACTGTGAACTCCCACGAAGGAAAACGTTTCGACCCGCTTTGTCGCTCGGAAGAAATATTGATGTTCGAAAATCAGGTTGCGAGTGGTCTGAAAAGAATGTGCCACCACAAATTGACATACAGGGACCAAATTGTCCCCTTTTGTCTGGGACCCCCCCGGCTAGATAAACAAATAAATAAATAAATACACGTGGAGATAGACAATGTCTATTTTGGGCAAATTCCAAAGCAAGCCCTGAAATTCACCTGTCATGGCCGCTTCCAACCAAAATGGCTTCCTGTTTAATTTTGGTCTGACCAATGTCATGGGGGCTTTATTTTTTCAAAATTTTCAGCAGTACTATTGAGTGATTTTTGCCGAGGGGGGTGGTGGTTGCGTTCAGGAATCATGACATACCAAGTTTTTTAGCAGCACGATGGCGATGCTCAAGTTTGTGAGTTTTGTCGAATTTGTTCAAGCCGTCCGGAAAAGCCATTTAACATCCCGGAGCTGATTGGGATGTTCCGTTTTTGGTGGGGTCATTTTCACAAATTTTGGGGTACCTTGAAGTCTCCAAGAAAGCGACTCGGTTACTTTGGGATCTTTCTCGTGTCCTGTCACGATAGACTCATCCACCCAAATTCATTAATCTATTATTAATTGGTAAAAAAAAAAAAAAAAAAAATTTCCATAAATAAATAATACTAAAACATTGAATGAATTATTATTATTATTATTTTTACTTCCAGGAGTGTACTGCTGTTTTTACGTTTCAATGGTGTTGCCAAAATTGTAAAGTTTTTAAGCAAAAGGCGATTTAGTCTGGCGAATACCAGGAACGAAAACGATTCCAAAAACTGTAACTATATTTCTTTTTCGGGGACAGCTTTCAGATACAATCACAAGCGACTTAATTGTCGTGTTGAAGTATGGATATATCATATGAATGTCAAGTGGGCTTTGCTGTTGGTATTTTCTCGATATTGATCAGCTGGAAGCTCCGGGCTTGGCTTTAACCTTTCAGCTCACCGTGGAAAACATCAATACCTGAAGAAGACGTTAGCATTCCACACCAACGTTTTCCATTGCGCCGCTATAGCGCAAAGCCACGCTGGCCGCTTGCAATTTATCCTCATCAAATCAGTTGGAGTTGACTGACTCCAATCTGAAAATGGATTCGGGATGGGGGGGTTGGAAGTGAGAGAGGAGGGCGTAATCCTTCACAGGAAGTTCGCCTTTGATACGGGAAAAGCGTGCGAAGCGCCCCGCCCCCCTTTTGTCGCCAGATGGTGTTTATGCAATTGGAGACCCTGACAAAGGCAATAGATATTTATTTGTACCTTCCTGACTGCGGCGAATTGCTTCATCAGCCTCGTTTAGGCTCTTCCATCAATTAAGACGCGACGCCGGCTCACCTCCAGATTGTCTGATTTGCATCGGACGCACATTCATAATCTATTTCCTTCATCCGGCAATTAAAGCGCATTGTTTGCCGCGGCGGGCTGCTAAATAAGGCGATGATTTATCATATTGTGTCGACGGCGCGGGCTGGCGGGGAGAGGGCGGGGAGGTCACGAGAGATCGCACGAGGGATGAATCCCGATGAAGACAACTCCGCCGGGGGTGGTTGCGCGGTGCCAAAAATATGTACCGTGTCTGCGGACAAATTGCAGTTTCAATGGAATTCTGCAAGGTAGGAAGGGCAAGAAATGACGTTTTTGCCACAATTTGCTTGCATTCAATGGGCATTGTGCTGCTCCTTCTCGTATGCATGCCGTGGCCACCGGGGGGAGGTACAATCATACAGCCAGAAACATATACGGCGCATGGAGACGTCTTAGCTGCGAAATGAGCCACGGTAATTTGTGGCCGCTCTTCACAGAAGACAAAGAATATATGCCGGGGAGAATTGTGGTATTGCCTGTCGTCATGTGTTGCTCCACAGTGTGTGTTCAAGTGTGTTACTTACAGGGTTATGACATTCCAACACCGATGCTATTTGTTAGCTGCTCTATGGCGTTTTCCATGATTGGTTCGCATTAAGCTAGCAAAAGGCAAAGTTACGTGGTTGTTTTAAAAACACGTGTTATTTTCTGTTTTATGTTTAGGTTGACAGCAAACTTATTTTAAGAATTCTACCCAGAAATCGGCCAGACTGCTGCTTGTCGTGAAGTTGAGTTGAGTTTCCCGCCACTAGACAGTACTCGTAGAAAGAAAACATGCGGACTGGCATCACTCCTTGAATCATGCGCAACATTCGAAGAGTCGACTAGAAGGCTAATTACAGCCCCCGTCCCGCTCAGGAGAAAATTTCTTTGACGCAAATGAACGTAAAGGCAAAAACGGACAGCAAGTGGACATCGGAGTGTGAGGCCACGTGTCCGGTCCGGGGAGCGGGCGTAAATGGAAATGCCTGTCATGACCTAATGGCTGGAGGCACGGCCACGGCGATAAAAGATGTGTGAAGGCAATAATTTTGACATTTCCCAATGTTTTTACCTCCACCCCCAGCCACCTGCACACGGAGACGCACTTAGGGGCCAAGTGTTGGGGTTGTATAGATTTTTAAAGTGCTCCATTTTGTCTGTCTAATGGGAAAGTGATGGAAAAAAAAAACCCTCAATAGCACTCTGATAGATTCATTTGGCAGTCTGTGATCTGTGAAGCCCCCGCTGTGGCTAAATGAAATCAACTGGCAGAGTGTATTATGGCCGTATGAGCCCGCTGCTGCCTTCAATCCATACACACAGTCAGAATAATAGAATGCCCCTGGTAGCGGCGCGTAAGGACAGGACATCTGGCAGAAAGTGTAAATGGTTTTGGCTTCCCGCGGAAAACATCGGACGGGAGGCTCGCTTTCCTTTGGGCCGGCGCAGATTGCTAATTTGCCTTTTTTAGCTTGGGACACAAAATCACATGGCTGCTGTGTCTTGAGGATTTACAGTGGCGCCTTGAGATACCAGCTGTAATCTGGTCGATTGTTTTTTTTTTTGGCTTTTTTTTTGCTTTGACTTGCAGCCCCAAATTTCTGATACGATGCAGTTGCAGTGTACTCAACTCATTTCACAAGCGGCGAGCAATCCTTCAAAAAGGCTTCAAAGTTTCATGCCAGTCCTCGTTAAAGTTTGTCAAATTAAAGATAAAACATGCACGCATAGCCGAGCCTTTCGTCCGCTAGCTTAACGCTAATGTTACCGCACGATGGGAAAGGCAACTGCCCCTCGAATACAAACGATGCAGAAACACAGACTGAGAAATCCAACAATGAACATTTTCTTTATCCTCTGCGAGGAGCTGAGGTGTCTATCGTGTGCAAGCGTCTGGTGGCCAAAGGGGAAAAAGCAGCAGAGTGGCTTTTCAATTGATGCAAAGTGTGATTTGCATTTCGTCACTTGTCTGAAAGTTTTCAAGAGAGGTCAGGATGAGTTGGGGTTGGATGAGCACTGCTTGACCACCGCGGCTATAATGGCATACGTTACACACTCAATTAGATACGGTGATTACTTGCGCCTACAAAAAAAAAAAAAAAGCTTTCTGGAGAAAGTGCCGCCCCATGCTGAGATATCGTTGATGGTGATGAGACTGGTCAGTAATACAGTACGTCCCCGAGAGGAACTCAAATTGGATGTGACGAGAAAGCATGAGAGGGAAGAAAAAAAAAAAAATCAATCAATACAAGCAGATTACGATCATTGGGTCGAAAGAGTCAATAGAAAACCCGTCTCAGCCAATGCATGTACTCGAGGATGGGTTTGGTTACCATGACGACCACTGCACTGGAGGCGAGCGGGGACGACTCACCCACAGTGCGGATAAAAACGCACCCATAAAGACGAAAGCAAAACCGCCGGATTGGGTTTTCAATCGCGGGAGCAGCGCTTCATCATCACAGCCGTGGAATTGCACTCAACGAGGAGTGAAGCGGACCTGTCGTCTTACGTCGTCGACTTTACCGGATATTGAACTAAAATCCATGCCGTCGCTTGAAAGTGGCTCTGGAACTTCCCCTCGTGTGGTTCGAGGGCATGGGCAGGGAAATGATGATTTAGATTTTTCATTACAGCTCGTTTTGATCTCATTTAGAATTTTTTTTTTTATTTTTTATTATTACTTCAGTGAGTTTTAATTTGTTTTTAGAACAAGTTTGTTAGTTTTTATTCGTTTCTACTTTTTCAAAGATGTTTCATAATTTTTATTTAGTTATCGGATTAGTTTTCGTTTTTTTTAATCTATGTAATTGTTGAGTGTGTATTTTGTAAGTTTTTGTGAACTACAATAACCTTTTTATTAGTTTCTACTCATTGAAAAATGTGTATTTTTTTTGTTGATTTTTTTTATTAGTTGTAGAATTAGTTTCAGTTTTTTTTTTAATATATGTAATTGTCGAGTCTGTATTTTGTGAGTTTGTGAACTATAATAATCTTTTTGTGAGTGGGGAGACATTATGCAAATGAGCCCGACTGTCACATCTCAATCTGGGAAAATTCTCCACTTGATGAGCGGTGACCAAAAATTCAAAAAGACAACAGTCCTTTCTATTTGCTATTTATTTTTTTTCAAAGTCATTATGAACTCGAAGTAAAATGTAATTTTACCTTTGACATTGACTAAAATGAGAAAAGTAAAGCCCCCACCTGCCCTCCGACAGCCGAGCAAATAACCGCCCCCAAAATTGTTGTTTTTTTCAAATATGGCTTTCTATTTTGTGGCTCTGCTATTCCCAAGGGACTTATTAGGCACACGAGCGCAATCATTTGCGAATCTCACAGTCAATCAGGCCGTCGGTAGCGACGAGGGAGTCCGTGCGACTGCCTCGACGCCCGGCGCCCAGGTGCAATCAATGCCCCTGGCGCAGAGAGGCATTGCTTTTAATCCAATCGAACAGCATAATCAAGCACAATGGCCGTGATTCGCGCCGGCCTCGTGAGATTTGTTCCAATCGAGCGAGCTGTCAGTGAGGCTTTTGATTGCGCACACAGCTCGGGCTGATGAAGAAAGCGACGAGATGTTTTTTTTTGCACTCATAACAGCCTGGAGTTTGATTTCTAATGGAATTGTTCAGATTTGAAATCTTTTTGTGTTTTTTTTTCTCTTCCGGTAGGAAATAACAGCAATTGAAAAAGTCTGCTGCAGCACTCAAGATTTTAAGTTTGTGATTTAAGGCACATGGTTTTTTCTGATCTGGATTGTATTCATACAAGTGTTTAAAAAAAAATAAAAAAATCAAAGCTTCATTGTCATGCTAGAGTAAAATATCTTAAATCAGTTTTGACAATGTTAGTGAATGGAAATGCCACTAATCCGTTCCAAAAAAACAAAGAAACAAAACAAAAAAAAAAACAACCAGTATTGCACTCTTCCCAAATCATACGTCGACCATAGAATGCAAAGAAATGACGTGTTTTTTTTCTTCTTTTTGCCACATTTTTTTAAAGCCACTGCAGCAATATTAGGTGTACCTCGCAGAGGATAAAGAATGTATGCGTGGAAATTTATTTATCTATTTATTTTTTTGCTTGAATGCTTTTCATGTTTTATTTGACTTTGTTACGAAGGTATTTACTGGTTGTTCTTTCAAGTTTTATTTCAAGTCGAGTTTTGCTGAATCCTAAATGTTTGAAATTAGTGAGTAATCATCATGATCAGCACAATGGCCGTGATTCGCGCCGGCCTCGTGAGATTTGTTCCAATCGAGCGAGCTGTCAGTGAGGCTTTTGATTGCGCACACAGCTCGGGCTGATGAAGAAAGCGACGAGATGTTTTTTTTTGCACTCATAACAGCCTGGAGTTTGATTTCTAATGGAATTGTTCAGATTTGAAATCTTTTTGTGTTTTTTTTTCTCTTCCGGTAGGAAATAACAGCAATTGAAAAAGTCTGCTGCAGCACTCAAGATTTTAAGTTTGTGATTTAAGGCACATGGTTTTTTCTGATCTGGATTGTATTCATACAAGTGTTTAAAAAAAAATAAAAAAATCAAAGCTTCATTGTCATGCTAGAGTAAAATATCTTAAATCAGTTTTGACAATGTTAGTGAATGGAAATGCCACTAATCCGTTCCAAAAAAACAAAGAAACAAAACAAAAAAAAAAACAACCAGTATTGCACTCTTCCCAAATCATACGTCGACCATAGAATGCAAAGAAATGACGTGTTTTTTTTCTTCTTTTTGCCACATTTTTTTAAAGCCACTGCAGCAATATTAGGTGTACCTCGCAGAGGATAAAGAATGTATGCGTGGAAATTTATTTATCTATTTATTTTTTTGCTTGAATGCTTTTCATGTTTTATTTGACTTTGTTACGAAGGTATTTACTGGTTGTTCTTTCAAGTTTTATTTCAAGTCGAGTTTTGCTGAATCCTAAATGTTTGAAATTAGTGAGTAATCATCATGATCATGAGGCAATCAAAATGATTGATGATTGGGATTCACTTTTTATGCGTGGGCTATTCAACTGCTTATACTTGAACAACTAAATGCGACGTCGCCCGTTCGAAAAGGTTTTACGATGCCGGCATAGTAGCAGCAACATCCCCCTCCGAGCAAACGGCGTGCGCGCGGTATCATCCGCAAGCGAGCAGCATGAGGGCGATACTGTACCTTGACTGGCTTCGGGGTGGAGGGAGGAGGAGGAGGAGGTGGTGATGAAGGTGGAGGTGGTGGCAGTGGTGGGTGTGGGGGTGGTGGTGGTGGTGGGAGCATCTGAATGAGAAGACAAATACATGACAAACTCACAGGGGGGCGGATACAAAATGAGGGCAGCAAAACAAAAAAAATATGGAATGCCATGTTTCGGCCGGCGCGTGCGAGGCCGCCTCGCAGTGTGGTGTTTTTTTTTTTTTTTTTTTTCCCACCCGTGCAGCACGACGACGCTTGTTAGGAGGGATCAAAGGTTTTAATGAGCAACGTGCGCTGTTGCGCTGAGAGGCAAATGCATCCGCGTGCGTTTGAGGTGATCGGCAGGTGAAAAAGAAGGAGAAGAGTCAAAGTTGGGGGTGAAGAGGAGAGGGCGAGGAGATCGTTTGATGACGTGAGCAAATGTGACAAATATCACAAGGCAGTCGCCCGAACAACAACAACAAAAAAACCACAAGCAGCTTTTTTTTTCAATGATTTTTCTCTTTGTTGTTAAGTACAAAAGGGCAAAGTCATGTTTTTATTTCTTAATTTTTTTTAAATTCGTATGCTAAAAAAAAAAAGGACCACAGAACAATTTGGTCCTTTATTCAGCTAGTGGACTATGTTGATAGCAAATATTAGCATTGGCCTCCTAAAAAAAATATAAAATAAATAAAATAATGCGGATCACAGTGGATTTAAGAAAGGAAATAAGCAGTATTAGTCAAAAGTATGAAAATAGGCGTGTTATGGATCTTGCACAGCAGTATCAAATTGGCTAAGTCAACCATTTCCACTGCACTTTTTGTTTCAAGACAGGGTGTCCATCTTTTTACATTCAAAGCTTAAAAGCTTGGAAACGGATTAAACTCATTTCCATGATTTCCTATGGGAAAAACTGCTTTCGGAGGTCGAACAAATTGTACTTCACAAGAACGAATTCTGTTCGAGGAGCACTTTGTGAGGAAAACAACCTGGAATTTGAATTCACGCCACCGATGTCCGTCACTCAAGTTGCTTTTTGTCAACAAATAACTTTGGTGACAGCATTCAAGCAGCTTTTGTGAACTCACGATTTTGTTTTGTGCATTTTTGTGGCCGGCTTCAGGCTTTCGGTCAGCTTTTTGTGACTTGTGTCCGCCATTAAGTCGCTTTTTGTGAACAAATGACTGCTATGCTGTGTTAGGATTTTTAAGATGCTTATTTTCCAGGTTAGCCAAATATAACTTTTTTTTTTTTTTTTTTTTTTGCTCCAGCAGCAGCAGCAGCAGCAGCAACCCTCCACGGTTTCCAACCTGATTATTTCGACTGCCAGTTTGAGGCAAATTGAAAATAATTACCTCCCAAAGTTGCATGAAGGAGGTAATAAAGTTAATAAAGGTTACAGCGCCGTGGGTAAATGTCTCCGACGAGTGGTAGCGAGCTTGTTTTTCATATGAAAGTGGCTTGTTTGCCTCGGGCTGGATACGGATGACGCAGACCGCGCAAATCTGCACACTTGTTAGTCTTTAACAACGAGCACTCCGGCCACAAGCCAAGCGAGTCATTCAAACAGACGGCGCCCAAGTGCGCCCGGAGCCAAGGTACGAGCGCAGATGAAGACCTTCAGTGGAGTCGTTCGGAACCCCCCCGCCGGGGTACCACATGATTTTAATTCATCGTCAGGCCGCATCTTTTCAAGACAACCTTGACGAAGCAACAAGGCATCGGGGGGGGGGGGGGGGAGAATTGGTCCGCCGGGCCGCGTGCCGGCAGACAACGCGTCAAGCGGACTCCGGCTCGGGGGCGGCGCCGTCTAATTTGTTTCATCCCGCCGCCAGCAGATGTTTGAGATCAACGGTAGCCCCTTTCGCGCAGACTTCACGGGAAGCTGGCGGAGAAAAAGACGGCCGGGCGCTATTGGACAGAACGGGTACAAATTGGGAGTCAAATTGCTTTTGACACGAAGGCGGGAAATGACACGGCAACAATCCATCGAAAAGGGCCCGTTCGAACCAGGGCGATGTTAGTTTTGAATTTGTCATTTTCGTGAGATCGGATTCAAGGACGGCTTGATTTTAAAGTGGAATGATTTGGGTTGGTCGAGAGGGATGTCGATTGGAGTGGATGTGTTACGGCTCAGTGTGGGAGAGCATCTTGCGATGAGTTTCTTGTTGTCACTTTGCCAACATACAAATGAACATGTCAGCAGTGTAAATTAAATCGAAGATGGATCTCCAAAGATAAGCTTGTATGAGTTTTTATTTTTGGGCAAAATGCTTCTTTTTTTTTTTTTTTTATTAGCTCGAGGATTAGTTTGAGTTTTTTTCCATTAATTTTTTTTTTTTTTTTTTTTTTAATAGCGAGAACTTCTGTCGAGTGAAAAAAAAAAAAAAAGAGCCAAACGAGTATTCAGCCTTCCCTCTTCTGTGCCGTATTGTCAGAAAGACATAAATACGTTTATAAAATGAATCCCGAAAGCTCACATCGGAAATTAAAGACAAAATCGAAGGACATTTTCACTAGTTAGTTTGATAAATATGAAATATCGATCCGGTTGTCATTT